GGGTCTCTGACCGACCGGTATCGGTTACAGTTATGACCGGTCATGACCGGTCATAACCATAACCGTTGCCATCCCTAGTTTCGGGTAGGTTTCATTTCGAGTACCAACTCTAACCTGTAAACAATAATATGAATACCTTCCCATTACATAATTTGTCTATTCATCAAATTAAAGGTTGCCAATGAGATTTAGTCAAATAAATATTCTAGGGTTATATACGTATGTGTTTGTTTAATCTTTGTAAAAATATTTTAAGTTAACTAATCAATCAACTTAGAAAGATCTAAATGTAATAAACTGTTGTGCTATTATCAAATTTATGTCTACTCTTTAAATATTTGAATTCATGTACTAATAATTATAAATACATAATAAACAAAGTTGGTAAATAGATCAATTTGACTAATTTTTAACTATTATAAAAATTTTTTTAATTATTACTAAATTTTATTTTTAATCAAATTTTATTTTAAAGTTTTTATAATAATTTGTCAGGGATGATGCTGAAATTTTGACTTATTTTATTATGAAAAATTAAAAATTTTTTGTGATTATTTGTTCAGCTTTTATTTCATAGTTCAATTAGAAGTTAGCGTTAGTGTTTATAATAGAAGAGTATAGGTAGATTTTAGTAGGGTTTATATTTTCAAATTAAGACCCCAAATTTCAGCATCCTCCCTGACATAATTTATTAAATTTAAATCTAAATATTAGTTTTTAATTAAAAAATTTTAATAATAGCTAAAAAATTGGTCAAATTGGTCTAATAGACCATTTGTTATTCCTGATAATAAACTATTTAAATTCATTATTATTTATTTCTGAGCTATCACATACTATAGATCTATTTTTATAATGTCAAGCCCGAACAAAGAAATGTCGAGTTCTAGTTATTTGGTATAATGTTTATTATTGTCACACAAGCTTTGGTAAATAATTATTAAACGTTAAAAAAATAAAGTTTTAGATTTATTTTCAAATAAATTAAAGTTCCATATAACTTTATGTATATTATTTGACTGATAAATATGCAATACTAAATATGTTGACAGACCTTAATTTGCCATATTCTTCACTATCTTCATCACCATCTTCACTATCTTCATCACCATCATCACTATCTTCATCACCATCATCACTATCTTCGTTGCTTAATTCATTAATCTCAGCAATCGCTTTCTCTTCATCAAAATTAATAACAGGTCTTATATTTCCTCTTTGCCATCAAAAATTGCATCTACAACATTTTTATATGCTTCAAGATAACAACGCCATTTATTATATTTATATATAGTGTCTCTTAAATCCTTTATTTTTCTTTCCAGGTTTTCTTTATCTTGTTGCCAATTAAATCGGTTGTTAGCAAGAAATTCAATAATATATATATCCAACTCGTCATCATTTGCCATATGAAGCCATTTGATATGATATGACACTGTTTTTAGGTTACCATTAATGAAATTTTTTGAGGAAAAGTCGTCGTTTTTACTCAAGTCAATCATGCGTTTGACAAGTGGTGACCCTAATATTCGAGGATCAAGCAAAATATTGTCACGGTGTATTTCGGTACTCTGAGAATTCGTTGCGCACGGGTACAATCAGGATCGGGATCTGCATATGGTG